CCATAATGTCTTCAGCAGTTGAAATCTGGGCTGATTCTACTTGTTCAATTCTTTCTTCAGTAGATAATTTACTAGTTTCATCAAGCATTTTTTCTGGAATTTCCACAGTTTCTTCTTCAGTAGCAGGCATTTGAACTGGTTCTACAAGGTCAATTCTTTCTTCAGTAGACACTTTACTTGTTTTATCAAGTGCTTTTTCTGGAATTTCCAGAATGTCTTCTTCAGTAGCAGGCATTTGAACTGATTCTGCATGTTCAACTTTTACTTCAGTATATACTTCACTAGTTTCAAGCATTTTTTCTGGAATTTCCATAATGCTTTCAGCAGTTGAAATCTGGGCTGATTCTACTTGTTCAATTCTTTCTTCAATAGATAGTTTACTAGTTTCATCAAGCATTTTTTCTGGAATTTCCACAGTTTCTTCTTTAGCACCAGGCATTTGAACTGGTTCTACAAGGTCAATTATTTCTTCAGTAGACACTTTACTTGTTTTATCAAGTGTTTTTTCTGGAATTTCCATAATGTCTTCTTCAGTAGCAGGCATTTGAACTGATTCTATATGTTCAACTTTTTCTTCAGTAGATACTTCACTAGTTTCAAGCATTTTTTCTGGAATTTCCATAATGCCTTCAGCAGTTGAAATCTGGGCTGATTCTACTTGTTCAATTCTTTCTTCAGTAGATAATTTACTAGTTTCATCAAGCATCTTTTCTGGAATTTCCACAGTTTCTTCTTCAGTAGCAGGCATTTGAACCGGTCCTACAAGGTCAATTCTTTCTTCAGTAGACACTTTACTTGTTTTATCAAGTGTTTTTTCTGGAATTTCCATAATGTCTTCTTCAGTAGCAGGCATTTGAACTGATTCTATATGTTCAACTTTTTCTTCAGTAGATACTTCACTAGTTTCAAGCATTTTTTCTGGAATTTCCACAGTTTCTTCTTTAGCAGCAGGCATTTGAACTGATTCTAGAAGTTTAACTTTTTCTTCAGTAGATACTTCACTAGTTTCAAGCATTTTTTCTGGAATTTCCATAATGCCTTCAGCAGTTGAAATCTGGGCTGATTCTACTTGTTCAATTCTTTCTTCTGTAGATAATTTACTAGTTTCATCAAGCATTTTTTCAGGAATTTCCACAGTTTTTTCTTTAGCAGCAGGCATTTGAACTGGTCCTACAAGGTCAATTCTTTCTTCAGTATACACTTTACTTGTTTTATCAAGTGTTTTTTCTGGAATTTCCATAATTTCTTCTTCAGCAGTTGACATTTGAACTGATTCTATAAGTTCAACTTGTTCTTCAGTAGATACTTTACTAATTTCATCAAGCGTTTTTCCTGGAATTTTCAAAATGTCTTCTTCAGCAGCAGGTATTTGAACTGATTCTACTTGTTCAATTATTTCTTCAATAGATAATTTACTAGTTTCATCAAGTGTCTTTTTTGGAATTTCCATAACATCTTCAGCAGCCGACATTTGGGCTGATTCTAATTCTACAAGTTCAACATTTTCTATCGTAGATATTTTCCTAAGTTCTTCAGAGGTCTTTTCTGGAATTCCAACAATGAATGCTTGACTTGATTCTACTGGAGCTTTGACATTTTTCTCAGATAATTTATTAGTAAAACAAATATATTCTTCAACAGCTATTAATTGTTCTGAACCAATAGGTTTAACCTCCTCAACTGGCATCTTACTAACTTCAGAAGTTTCTATTAGTTTTGCTTCTGCAACAGGTTCACTTTCTTCATGAGATAACTTTTTTTCTAGAAATTCAGTAATATCTTCAGAAGTTTGTGTTTTTACTAGGTTTGCATCTTGAGAAAGTGGTACTTCAGTTGCTTTTCCAATATATGGGTCTAGATGAGCTTCTGCCAAGTCTTTATTTTCTACCTCTAAACTTTCAGAGCTTTCCAATTCAGATGAAAGCAATTCAGGTTTCACAGTTTCAAGATCTTTAGTTGTTTCGGTAATAAACACCGCTGATTCTTCACTTTTGATTTCATCATACCCCGATAGTTTACTTCCTTCACTCTCATCTTGATCAGACTGTAAATGTTCTACATTAGAGATAAGACCCTTCTCCAAAGTTTGTTTTCCAATAACTGGTGTTTCTTCAGCTACCTGAAACCAAAATCCATATGATAAATTCAAATCAATATTTTCTACTGAAATAAGAAAAAATACTTTCAAATTATCAAAATTACAAACTGAAGAAGTAAATTATATGTAGAAAGAAAGATACTTTTCAACTGATCCTTATTTTTTTCTAGAAAATGTTAGTAAATTTTAGTCCTAGCCCCTTTTGAAGGAATTGCAGTACCTCTCTTTTTTAGCATAATTATTAATTTTATCATTTATATATGACTTTGGTCTGCTTGTATGCGAGGTTTCTGTGGTTATCATGGTAGTTTTGTGCTTTCCTAATACAACCTTAAATTGTCTGAAACTTTCTAAAACGTTGAGAGGGTTCTTTTAGGCATATCACTTCTTTACACTGTAATAATAGTAATGTACTATCCAATCAAAACTTAACCAATTAACCCTTAATCACTATGGTTAAGTCTAGTATTTATTACACCACCTCGTACATGGTACTTTGATAACTTTGTTTTGAATTTTGTACTAAAGGGGTATTTGCACTAGCCATCCCTAATTTAGCAGTGATAGACTAGGAGGAAGGCAGTTAGTCAATACTACCCACTGCCAACTCTTGGACTACTCTTGTACTCATGAATAATGGAAATGACCATTACATTATAATGCTCCCATAGCTATAAAGGTGACCATGTTCAATGACAGAGATTAGAACTCGTAACCTTCAGATATCCAAAGATGCAAGAATTCAGGACTAAATCTTTAACTAAACATAATCAATATATATAGTAATGGAAAAATAAAAAAGGGAAACTTATAAAACAGAAAGTGGTAAGTGGGGAATATATATTTTAATGTTCTGGGTTGGAACGTTCTTCCTCTAATAATTTTAAACCAGAGGAAGGGTGTCATGCCTCAAACTGTTGTAAATATTAAATCATTTACTGATCATTTACCAGTTTTTGTGTTGCAAGTTTTCTTCCTTTTTTGTTTGAACTGTATTAATTCTTTCAACGCAGACTCGGTCAATTTGACCAACCATGTGACCTCTTTGTACTTGTTCAAAGCCCTTATAGATTTGATACTACTAACTTTTAATATAGTTTGTATATCTTAATGAAATTTGGCAGTCTTTCACATACAAAAAATCATATTTTTTAGTGAAGTAATTTTAATGAACTAAAAATAGATTTGTCCCTGAATATATCAAGTATTTGTTTTGAATAGTCTGTGTGTAATCTCTAAAACCTCCTAAATACATTTCAAATGTTTGTCTCAGCAAAACTTTATTTTATCTGTAATTTTCTCTATCCTAACTCTGTACAAGGTAAGTCAATTTAACTAAACCAGTAAAAGCCAAAAAAAAAAAAAAAAATCACTTGGGGAATGTGCAACTTGCTTTACGCTATCGAATTACATTACCCACGAGCTACTCGTGTGCATGCCTCGTGAAATATTTTTATTTTATTATTATTATTGTTTATCTTCCCTAATCTAACCTAAAGAGATCCCTATTTTTACATTTTAATTACTTTTATAATAATAAATAAACATGAAAAAACAAGAAATAAAGTATTTACCCAATCTTCTTTTTCTTGCTGTTGATTGTCAATGACACTTAACCCTACTTTATATATATATCACTAAATTTTTTATTTAATTAAATAATGCAAAGAACATAGACAATGCAAAAGTAGACAATTTCCCTAACTCTGAAAATTTTTCTGGCTTCCTAACTATGCGACACTGAGTCATTACAAATTCATTCAAGCTAGTCATTAACTTTCCCACAAGAATGAACCATGTATTATAATAATGAAATTGATGCTTATCTGTTCAGAACACAATGTTATACAAAATGTGATTTGATAGATGAAAATATTGACTTTCTATTAGTTAAAAGTAATATATAACTAAACATAAGAGAGAACTATTAACATCCTGAAAGAGAGGATGTGACAGGAGGGGTCTGATTTTCTATCTGATAGCTCTGTAACCAAACAAAATTTAAGGCTATAAAAATCATGGTTTGTCTGAACAATGACGATTTTATAGTGAGTAATTTACATTTAATTTCATAGTTACTGGAGGGGTGCTGGATAAAATAGAGAAGATACCTATAGAAAATGTGTCACACTTCAGGAAATTCAGGATATTTTTCAATATTGACTTGTATACTATTAAAATATGGATTATTAACTAAGATTTTATGCTATATTAATTGGTATAACAAACAAAAAGTAGTTTAATAAAATTTTGAATGTAAGACACAAAAACCTTGTATCATGCACAGTAAGGGATACTCAAGGTGATAGGGATAATTAATTAAATGAACATTTTGAAAAACACTGTGCAAGAATATAAACTAAGCCATAAACGTTTAATTTAGCATTCTTTTAACAGTAAAAAGAGATAAAAGAATGTAACTTCCATACAACAAACCTTTACTTCAATATTCTTTCCTAATTTAGTGGATACTTCTGACAGTGCTTTCTTTAAGACATCAGCAACTAAAAGGGAAAGCATAACTCTCACATTTACAAGTACAAGAAAATGAAATGTAAAAAGTTCCATAATCCTTCATAAATATTATATTACAAATATAAAACAAAACCATGAAGACAAGGTTTTTTCTAGTACAGTTTGGAAAATGAGCCTACTAACAGAAAATGGAACAGTGTGTGTGTGTGTGTGTGTGTGTGTGTGTGTGTGTGTGTGTGTGTGTGTGTGTGTGTGTGTGTGTGTGTGTGT